GCTATGATGAGCTCTAAACCCTGACTGAAACTCTTCATATAGATTATTTCTATCCAGATATTCACGCAGCTGATTTGCAACTAATTTCTCAAGAATTTTTGAGATGAATGGGAGATTAGATATAGGTCTGTAGTTGGCCAGAACTCCTGAATCAAGATCAGGTTTCTTAAGTAAAGTTTTATTTACAGCAACCTTAAAGCTCTGTGGCACAAAACCATTTATTAAAGATAAATTAAGTACATCTAAAATATAAATATTAATTAAGGGAAATGCTTCTTTGAACAGTCTGGTTGGGATGTGATCTAGCAGACATGTTGATGGTTTGGATGAAGCTATTATTTTAGATAATTCAGAGAGCTCAACAGGACAAAAACTGTCCAGACATAAATCAGCTTCTAGTGACACTAAAGCTGCCTCCTCTGACAGAGAATCAGAGACAGTAGCAGGAAATTTGGGATGAACTGTATTCCTTAATAAAATTATTTTATCTATAAACCAACTTCCAGTTTCTGTCCGTGAGACTAGACTAATTTTAGGACTAGACTGAAGACTTTCTTTTTTGACTAACCCTATAGTTAGGTCAGGGTTTCCTGAGCTATCATTTAGTTCTGCTGCTATAGGCCAATGATTCCCAACCAGGGGTACATGTAACCCTTGGGGTATGCGAGCATATTACAGCGGGTATGTGGAAAAATTTCCCAGGTGTGTAAAAAAATAAATAAAAATAAGACTGGGATATGTAGAGCCCTATGATTTCCACATCGCAAAAATTGCAGAATCACAGAATTAACACAAAATGGAATCCAGTATAAAACACGGCATCTCACGGAATTTGCTCATTTTGGTGAGTTTCTGACGTATTTTGGAAAATACAATGTATTTTGGATGCTGCTGCTTTCTGCACCTGGTTTATTTTTTTAATTACTTATTCACTTTCAAGGCAACGTTTTTATTTTTACGTTTAATTTGAGTTGAAAAAAATAAAATGCCTGAGAATTAAACGTTCTATGGGGTTAAATAAATATTTTTTATTTAATAATCATTTGTTGAACATTATAGTTTTGGAAAATCATCATTACGTTTGACTGAGGGGGTAATAGTGGTATGACAAAATGGCTCAGGGGTACACAAGTCTAAAAAGGTTGGGAACCACTGAGGCTTAAGGGCCCTGCATACTTCATCCAAAGCTGTGAAATTTGCTCTCATAGACGTATTTGCGTGATAAAAATTGGGTAATTTTGTTCACAGAGCAACTTCACCCACCCTTTCTCGACACAAGGCCCAGGCTGAACTTTTTCTCCGAGGTGAATGCGCAGAGTATTATGTGTATGGGGAGGTGGTGGCGCAGAGGGTAGAGAAACCGAGTCTGTGATCGGAAGGTCGCCGGTTCGACTCCCCGAACCAACCAGCTCCACCTTAGGCCCCTTAACCCCCCAGCTGCTCCCCGGGCGCTGCAATTGGCAGCCCACTGCTCCACGTGTGTTCACATGTGTGATGGGTAAAATGCGGAGACTTCACTTCCCCACCAGGGGATCAATACAATACAATATTTACATATATATACAATATAATTACAATATACAATATATACAATATACAATATAATTGGTCAGACGTTCATGGGCATGTTTGTTTATGGGAAAAAGTGTTCAGACAACAATAGTGTCATTATCCTTCAGCTACTCCACTTCCAGAAGTCACTAGCTGCGTTTCCATTGCAAATGTACGCAAAACTTTGTCGATATTCTGTTAATGTCGAAAAAAACACAGTTTTGCAACTACAGTGTTTCCATTAGGTAAACAATGCTATTAAAGTCACGCGTGAATACGTTTGTTCTCACGATAAGTCATTACAAACATGGTGGCAATGGATGTAAACACATAGCATRYTGCTACCATGACACTAGCACTCATCATAAGAGGAGACGTCGGTGCCTTTTATTGAGGCTTTCCAGCGACAAGCCCCTTATACTTGGGAGCGGCTACTTATGCTATGTTTTTGGCAAATTGTAGTCGGTGAGTTTACTACTTTCTTTTACTACTTCTGTGATATTACTACTAATTCTACTTCCTGTTCTCTTCTTGGTTGTCATCTTTTTCGCCAGTAGAAACAGCCRGTTGTTGATCACGTGACTCCCGTGATGCGAAAAAAGTGTTTCCATTGCAGTTTTGTGAAAAACACCAATTTCTATATGGCCAAAAAACTACCTTATCCTAGCACGAAAACATTTAGTTGAAAAATGTMATTTTTTTCAAAACTGACGTGTTTCCATTGAGCAAATTTATTTTTGAAATTCTAATTTGCGCATTTTCATGGTCAGTGGAAACGCAGCTAGTGTTTTGTGTCCAAACATAGATAGAGGAACAGTTGTCCAAGACAGTCCATCTCTTCTGGACACTTATAATCAAATAACCAAAAGTTCATTGATGGAGACAGCACATACTGTATGTTGTGCCCAGAGGAATCCATCCATGACAGATAAGTGGGCAAATGGCAGATATTGAAGTGGCGACTCCAGTGGAAAGTGACCATGCTGTGACGTGTACAGCACCAGGAGGGGTTTCCTAGGAGCTCTTTGCTGTGTGCCTTGAGCAATGAAAAGTGTGTGAAAACAAACGTCCCGCAACCGCATGACCAGGAGTCTATTATTCGGCTTTGGATTGAGTATGATGGGCCCTTCAGAGTGCTGCAGGACAAACTGACCACATTTCCTCACTGCTACTGTCTTGACTTTTTATACTCTCTATGCTGGTGTTTGCAGTAATACTATCAATAACCTGTTTCTTTTGTTATTCTTCCTGGCCAACACTACTACACTTCTGCATTTGTGTCTCCTTCTCCGCTCAAGCCCAGCCAATCAAGGCAGATGGCTGCTGGTTCCAGTTCTGCTGGAGGTTTATTCTTGTTAAAAGGGAGTCATTTCTTTCCAGTGTCACCCACATGGTTGCTGAGGATGAGGAAATGAAGTTTGGATGCAACCAGCTGGCCTCCCTTATACAGAAAAATTACCGTGTTGTGAACTGATGCCATATACTTTAAACAAAGTTAACTGAACGTTTGCACTGTGGTGTTCTGGTTTTGCTCACATGCAGTTTTATGCAGATATATTTTTGCTATGATTGGAATGGCAACAAAGATAACTAACTTTCACATCTTCAGCTATGCATAGAGTTTGTGCACTAAAAACAAAGCCAAATGAAGATGCATCAGTGAAGTCAGTGCAAACTGCATAATAATTAGACATTATCCTGAAGAAGATTACAAGAACACATAAATAGAGCATTACCTCTTGATTAAAAATTGGTAAAGATTATAAATAATCTTCAACATGAAGCTTCAGCCTAATCTGTAAACAGCTGATGTAACATTGGAGGCAAAGTCTGCACATCATACTTTTGGTTTGAAAGGAACAGCTGTCCATATTCAACATCTGCATGTGTATTTACACACAGAAAACTACAATTTTAATATAGTTTAACAGATAAAAAGGGAGATCAGGATTTACAATGAAGACTTTTAAAAATGCTACAAAACATTTTATTTAAAGGATAAATGGAACATAATTTGACAGTTCTGTTTATAAGGCATAATCTTTAAAACTAGTTTAGGGGATTTTTCAAAAATTCCAGTGTTTTTATGAGCTGTATAACTGTGTTTTTCTAATTAATCGCACATTAATAGTCATACATTTTTAGCAGAACAGTCACAGAGTTCTTGTGAAACAGTAAAACTGAAAGCTAAAAACTACCATTTGTGCTCTTGACACCTCCTTCACACATCCTGATATTGATATTGTGTTTATACACATTTATGGGAAATCCTCTTCTCTCATCTCTAACAGCAAGCTTTTTATTGWGCTTCACGACAGGCCTCATGTGGCAAACAAACCCCCAAACCAGTACCATCACCAGAGCCTGGGTGGTCTCCAGAAGATTTCTTTACTGAGGTTTTTTTTWATATACTTTGATTCCAAAACATGGCAGACACAAAGATTTGCGACAAAAATACCTACTGCTTACATTTATACAGTCTTTTACCAAAAAATATTCACCTTACAGTTACTGTTTGACTTCCTATCTAATATAAAGTCTGTTAGGTTTGTGTAGGAGACAGAAATACGACGATGGGTTCCTTTGGCTAAAGTGAGGAAGTAGATGGGAAGGTGGTGTGGGGGTTATAC